GATGATATGTTCGATCGGTTCTCAAAGATCATCAACGACCTTCATGCACTCAAGAAGACTTACGCCAACAAGGATCTTGTGAGGAAAATCCTGCGGAGTCTCACACCCGAATGGAGATCAAAGGCTGATGCAATCTACGAATCCATCGGAGTCTCAAATGTCACCATCGACGGGTTAAGAGGTAATCTCAAAACTTATGAATCTACTATTCTAACCCCGTCTTTGGATGAACAAAAGAAGAAGGGAATAGCGCTGAAAGCAACCAAGGAGACCGTGGAAGAAGTTTCAAGCGATGACGACAACGAGTTCGGACTCGTCATCAAGAAATTCCACAAATTCATGAAGAAAGAATTTGAACGGAAAGGGAGAAAGCACGACGGTCCCCTGAAGTGCTATGGCTGTGGCGAGATAGGCCACATCAAGCCGAGGTGTCCAAAAGGCAAAATCAGCAAGGACAAACCCGGCTTCAAAAAGCAACGTGCCTATATCTCATGGGATGGCAACTCCGGCGATGAGTCAACTGATCAAGAAGAGGAAGAAGCCGCCAACCTCTGTCTCATGGCACACGAAGACCACGCCGACGAAATACAAGAGTTATGTACCCCTTCTTCCGACTCTTACACTTTTGAAGAGATGCAAGAAGCTCTTCGAGAGCTTTATGATGAATTTGTTAGCGCTTCTAAAACCAACAAATCACTAAAGAAACGTCTTTAAACTCTTGAAAATGATTTTGAAAATCTGGAAAAAGACAATGAAAAGTGGAAACAAGAAAATAAGTTTTATGGTAAAAGAAGCGCTGAAAAGTCGGAAAGCTCTTCAAGTGAATGTGAATCTTGCAAAACTTTAAAAGAAAAGGTTGCAAAACTTGAGAGTATGGTCAAGAAGTTTAATACACAACACAAAGGTCTGAATTTACTCCTAGACACTATGCATTTTTCTAAGGAAGGATTAGGTTTTGATAAAAATGAATCTAAGGATAAAAACATTGAGCAAACACCTAGACAACCTCCTAAGGCTCAACGTAAGAAAGTTAAAAATCAGGATAAATCTAGTCAACCTAAGGACACTAGACAACCTAGACAAAAACCTAGGAATGAAAATGTGCATATTAGACAACTTAGGAAAAACCATCAAAATGAATTTGTGCATAAAAATAATTTTTCAAATAGACAAAATAATGCTAGGACACCTAGAAGAGAGAACTTTCAAAAACCAATATTTTCTCAAAATAGGATGAATATGGTTAGGCCCCCTAGCAACTATTATCAACCTAAGAGGATGCACAACCCAAACGTAGTTTGTCACTATTGCAATAGGGTAGGACATATAGCTCCCGTTTGCTTTACTAGGCATAGGCATTGGGCACAAAATGAATCACACTACCACTTTGCACCTAACACTCAAGGACCCAAAAAGACTTGGGTACCTAAATCTTATTAAATTCTTTAATGACCACCAACGGTCAAGCTTTCCCATCGATGGTATACCCTTACCATCGCTGGGTTCCCATCGATGGGATAGGTTTCCCATCGTTGGGTAAGGTCGTTCTGCCTTGTGTTAATATTGCACCAAGGCTTTAACAGCGATGGGTAGAACTCCCCATCACTGTTTGGCATGGTTCTGGAAGTAGGTTTGGCTTAGGGACCGCTTACCCATCGATGGGAAGATCTTCCCATCGCTGGGTGGGTGGTTAGTCAAGAACCCATGGTTTTTGCCTTAACCACGGCCTAGC